TTTTGCTTTTTCGACTATTTTTTTTTCAAAATCGTGTGGCAAGCCTGAATATTCGATGATTCAATAAGTTGGTTTAGAGATGTCATTGGCTGTCTTTTGGTATTCCGGCAAGGTAATGAAATTTCCATTTAATAACGCTCAACATATAGAATAATAAAATACTCGCTGAGTTCCATCACATGAAATGATACGTGTGACGGCATATTTTCACACGCAACTTCGTTCCCAGTGCGCCGAGCATTCGCTATATATAGAGCGAACGTATCCGAATATTAGAAACCACACGTTATTACATGTAGCTAGTGATCGACGCACTGTGAACGAAGTTCCGTGTGAAAATATGCCGTCACACGTATCATTCCATGTGATGGAACTCAGAGAGTATTTCCTGTTTTCACATTTGCAGGCAAGCGCCACAATCGTAACGATCGTGAATGATTCTAGCTCATGTGACCAAATGGGAAACCGGCTGAAAAAAATGGAAGCAGACAACAGTTCAAAACACTATTTTATTTTCTCAAACATGTGTATTTTTTATATATTTTGTTCTATTCTAATTATTATGTAATTGTGATAAATCTGCAAACAAGTAGTAAATGAAATGCATTCGTGTCATGTAGACGTAGTCAATAAAAATGATAAAAACCAAATCATTAAAACTGTGATGTCTTCTATTTTGCCACGGAATGCCACTAACTGACTAGATTCATTTCATTTCATTAGCTATGGCCTGTGATACAGTATGGACAAATGCACGAGCCTCTTTGGCCGTTGGTTCAATGAATTCTGGAGGCAATACAAATCCATAATGACCCTTATCACGCAATTCAGCGGTGTAACTATATTTCACACCAAGGCTTTTGGCCCAATCATCAGAGCCTCCCGCGGCCGGATACAACAATATTGCTGACGATCCAACGGTGTACTTTTGATTGTCCAATGCTTTGATATTCTGCCAAATTTTGAAAAATATTGAATATAATTTTCATCAACGAGAATTCTTCTAGAATATATAAAGGTATACCTTTGCGGCTTCGTTGCCTACACGGGCCAGATCTTCGTGGTCATCTGGTAATTCCTTGTCATAGCCCCATGGATACAGAATCCATTGACCATAACTGTGGAAGGTCAAGTATGCATCGAATTTTTCGTTGGTATTTTTGAAGAAACTTTCGACTGCAGCCGATTCTAGTTCGGAGAAAGCTTTAGCTCCGCGGAAAATTTCACTGCATGGATCAATCGATGTACCTAATCCACCCCATTTGTAACCAAAGTTTCTATTCAAATCGACACCAGCACATCGACCGGTATTTCCACCACTGCGATTCTTGCGCCATAGACGGTCAGATTTGCGCGAATATTCATATCCGTCTGGATTGTGCACTGGCAACACATACCAGTTGACATTTTTTATATGATCCGGTTGACTTTCCCAGTTTTCAACTAAATCATTCCCGATATAAGTTACGGATGCTGGACTGACCCATTCGCGTGCATGAATTCCGCCGTCAATCCAAATTGCCTTATTTCCACTATTTCCATTTGAAATTCTAGGGAAAATCAATTGATTTATAAGCAATGCGAATTTGAATTACATAGTTAAGACTTTTATTTCATACTTCAACACTTTCAATGGCCGGTTTTCAACCGAATAGCCAATGGTTTGAAGTGAACACAAATTCGGATATTTCTCAACCAAATAGTCTAGAAATTTGAAGATGTCCTCAGTTGAATGGTATGCCGTCCACGTAAGAGGATGATCTGAAAGAAGTGTAATTCTATAAAAAAAATTAAACACCTTTGAAAAAAATAAATGCAATAAAATAAAAACATGGTGTTGTTTTGAGTCATTGTAATGTAATCAAAACCGTTAAGTGATATCGTTTGCAATGAGAACAAAACAAAAATTGAATTTATGAAATTAATTAAATGCCATTAAAAATGATATCTTATTGTAGATCTTTTTGTAGATAATACATATATTGAAAGACCAAATAAATATTTATTATTTTAAACTTATTATAAAACAAGACCGCAGATCATCGCTTCGCTTCGCTCTTCGTTCTTGAAGTTTGTAAATTTAAGGGGTTTAATTAATTTGATGTTTTTCATCAAATTATTATCGTAAGCTACATGGAATGTAGTTTTAATCGTAGTATACTTTTGTATGCAAATCATTTTAATATTGTCAAAAATAATTAAATAAATTTATATGATGATATTGTATTCTTCACTTATGTGTTTTATGTACATTCAATGTGAGTGATCATCGTACATTATTTCACATTGGTAACGAAAAAAGTGTAAAATTTTTTTTTAGTTATTCCAAAAGTGAATCAATTGTTATTTTAAATGAAAATGAAATGAGTATATCGTTTACTCGCTGAGGATGACAACTGTCGAAATGCATCAGAACCAAAGCAATTTTATTATATTTCAATAAACTACTTAAGTATAAATTAAAGAAGTAAAATTGTTGAAAAAGCAAAGTCATTTAAGGTGTTTTCATTTAAAATAACAATTGATTCAATTTGGACTTTGCGGTACAATATATTTTATCGTTTTTACAAAAAACATTCCTATTCCAAAAGTGAATTACAAGAACATGATTTTATTTCATTTTTGCAAATGAGCGTAATTGCTTCATTTCAAATAAAAAATATGGATATTAAAATGAATCAATGTACGGACCGTACAGTACGGTCAAAAAAAATGGCCTGAAGACTCTTAAAATTTCCTAGCCTACATTCCATGTAGTGCTAAAAACCTATTTAATGAGATAGTTACAAACCTTGGTTTATTACAACATTGTCATTGAGCGGCTGGGCCTCTAGTTCGATTAGCTTTTGTAAATCCTCGATTTGGACTGAATATTGAATGTTATTATCTTGAAGTACTTTACGAACTTGATTGATAGTCGATTGTTTCACTAGCACATCAGCTGTAGTATGATCGCTATTCCAGACTGTGACATCTGAACAAACATACAAAAGCAATATCACGTAATAAGTTGGAAAATATTTCAAGAATGTCCACAAATATTTTTTATTATATATGTTAAAAAAATAATAATGCACAACACAAAAAGGAATTCATTCTAAATTACCTGCCCAAAATATATTTTGTATTTTACACTTCACATTCCCAGTTATTGTACTTACCGAATTCCTCTTTTAGGCTTGGGATCACGTTCATGTCCTTGGAAATTTGAACATTCCATAGCTGATAGCCATCATATCGTACGGCCGTTTCAATGAAATGTTCCTTTTGTATGTCATCAACAGAGCTGGGAGCGGCATCGACCCATAAAAATAAGCCGAGGATCGCGAAAATAAGCTGCTTTGCCATGGTAATGTAGCTTAGATTGAAGTCTAAAATTTTCTTTGGATAGAGACCAACTGATACTCTCACTGATGAAAGCGAATTGAATGACAACCTTATCACAACTGATTTCTTCATGAATCGACATCGGTTTTTATAGCAATTTGGTACCGACGTTTTGTGTCATTCGACATAACATAATGTACATAGGAATACTCCAGATTTTATGAACAGATGTAGTTTGATAAAGTCCACGTGCGCTCTAATAATTCATACTGGAATGGAATGGTCTATTTACCAGGAATCTAATCTATGATAAGCAAGGCCGTAGCCAGCTCGAAATGTCCGGGGGCGCTCAAAAATTAATCATGAGCGCAGAAGTAATGAAGACTAAAAAAGCTAATTCTATAGTTTTTTATCGTAGCATTATCTTCTAGCCTATATAATTGGAATTTTTAAAATCAAAATCAATAACTCCAATTTAATATAATTTGAAGATATTCATATATATATCCTATTTAAAACCAATTATTTATTGCGCATAGAGAATAGACATTTTTTTCCGAGTTTTCTGGTGTTTCTTTTTCTCTGATTTATCAAAACTTGAAACAAACGATTCATGAACAAATTCACATTGCTAATGGCGCGACAATATTACAATCAATTTAAACTATTTACGTCCAAATATTATATCTTATAAAATAGCTGCCAACGTTTTTTTAAGATTATTTCTCCGTGTAAACTAACGGTTGGCTCCAGTCAGTTTCAATTGAAATATAAGTAATACAACGATTCGATTGGCACTTATGTGATTTTTTCGATTAATATTTCTCTCTCAATGTCAAAACTTCGATAAAACTCGAGATCAATTTTTGAAATTATTTTTTGGAAAGGCGCCCGTGAATCATCAGAGGGCGCTTAGCGCCCTTTCACGCCCCCGTGGCTACGGCCCTGATGATAAGATTCCAATATTTAAGTGGACAAGTAAATGCTAAATCGTTGTTCTTTTTCTTCCGAAACCGAATGAAAAAATATTTGCTTGCAATTTTTATAGCCTAATTAGAACAAATTTGCATAATTTTTTGCACAAGGTATGTACGCCATTGGGGATATTTTTTATATCGTATTTTTTGTAAACTCGTAAATTGTATGAATATTTTGCACTATCATTTAGACATTTGTCACAAACTAAATCATTACATGTTTCAAATGTTTGAAATAGTTCAGTTCAGATTAAAACAGTGAAATTTATACAATAACACTCAGATTTATTAAAAACAAAGTACAAAAAAACATAAAATTTGTTGCATTTTATCTCATTTATATGTATTTAGCAAGCTTTTACGAAATATGAATTTAGCGTATTGATAAAATCAAATCACTTCCAACTTTAGTTAGCTATTTCTCCTGAAACGGTAAATACAAATGAAAGAGCCTCTTTGGCTGTTGCTTCTATGTATTCTGGAGGCAATACAAATCCATAGCGGCCCGTGTCACGTAATTCGATTGTGTAGCTGTACTTGATTCCAATACTTTTCCCCCAATCGTCTGAAGCACCGGCGGCTGGATACAACAATGCTGCTGAATTTCCCGGAGTGTAAACTTGATGGTCTAATTCTTTGATTTTCTGCGAAAAAAATTAATTGTAAAAGTCTTTTTATTTGTACTTTGCATCTTCAAAAGCGTTGGATATGTTCGAACAGAAATGTTTCATCTACCTTTGCACCTTCTTTGCCAACACGGGCCAGATCTTCATGGTCGTCTGGCAAAACATTCCCATATCCCCATGGATGCAGAATCCATTGGCCTAATTGAAATTACATTCAATATAGCACTTAAAGGTGTATAGTTTTTGCAATAAAATGTACTGACCGTAACTGTGGAAGGTCAAGAAAGCCCCAAATTTTTTCTCTTCAGTGTTGTCAAAGAAATTTTTGACTGCAGCCGATTCTGGTTCGGAAAAAGCTTTACTTCCACGGTAAATGTCACTGCATGGATTACTCGACGTACCTTCACCGCCCCATTTGTAACCATAGTTTCTATTCAAATCGACTCCAAAACAGTTGTTTCCTCCTTTAGAACGATTTTTGCGCCACATTCGATTTGTGCTACGCGTGTATTCATAGCCGTCTGGATTGTGGACTGGCAATACGTACCAGTTGACATTTTTTATATGATCCGGTTGACTTTCCCAGTTTTCTACTAGTTCGTTCACAATATAGGTTACCGATGCCGGGCTGATCCATTCGCGTGCATGAATTCCCCCATCAATCCAAATTGCCTTATTTCCACTATTTCCATTTGAAATCCTAGAGAAAATAAATTCATTCATTTGCGGTATGATCTTGAGTCGGTTAAGATGTTCATTTCATACTTCAATACTTTCAGAGGTCGGTTTTCAACCGAATAGCCAATGGTTTGAAGTGAACACAAATTCGGATATTTTTCAACCAAATAGTCTAGAAATTTGAAGATGTCCTCAGTTGAATGGTATGCCGTCCACGTAAGAGGATGATCTAAAAAAGCATTATTTGTAGACAAATATTGTATAAGAAAATAATCCAACAAATTGACATTATTGTGCAAACTATGTCATTGCATTAATTCAGGCACTTGTGGGAGATAACAAAAACAATGTATTTTTATAGTGCCGTTCGTATCACGAAACACTGAATGGTCCGGATAACTGTGAATTGTTAGTGCGGTGTCGAGTTCCCAATTCAGAATACCCTTAATTTATGTATGCCTTCAGAAAACTGGATGAAGTCGGGTGAAACGAAAATCCAACACAGTGAAGCGCAATGGTAATATATTCAGCAAATCCGAAACCGTTCAGAGTTCAGTTTTTGTCCCTATCGAAAGATCACTGACTTGAATCATGAATGACTTTTAAAATGTCATATCTGACAAATGCCATTTCCAACAATTGGGTAAACTTTATGACGAAAGCATTTACTTATACATACTTCCAGAATATACCGTATAGATGCCGTTAGAGCATTCATTGCTGAATATTTTCCATTTACTTTGTTGCAAAAATTGTCCTAAAAACCCAAAAATCGTCCTATAAATTACGAAAATCATCCTAAATATCACACAAATCGTCCTGAAAAAAATACAAAAATCGTCCTAAAGAAATACAAAAATCGTCCTGAACATGAAGTTGATGTATCATCCATTGGGCTGTTTCCTGCTATACCACCAAAGTTCTTTGTGATGACTTTCAATGCTTCACGCAATAACATTACTGAGCTCAACGAAAAAATCGCGATCAATTGGATGTCATTACGAGACATCGACTTTTCATACAATCAAATCGAAAGATTGACTGATCAATATTTCAACGCGATTGGTCATAGTCACACTTATATAATGTCACATTGATTACATAGGACTCATTGTTATTCGATCTTTCCGTTTTTGGAGTGTGTTTGAATTGTTAGTGTAGATCAAATGATACGAACCAAGTTTTGTTGCGGTGTTTTGCTTTGATGGCAGTGCCTCGAGTTCGATTAGCTTTTGTAAATCTTCGATTTGGACTGAATATTGAATGTTATTATCTTCAAGTACTTCACGAACTTTATTTACAGCCGATTGTTTCACAAGCACATCAGCCGCTGCATGATTGTTTGCCCAAAGTGTCACGTCTGAGCGGAAAAACGTAATAAATAATAACGAGTTAGCAAATCTTCAAGATGTTACAACAATCTTAAAGTGTTCAAATTGTTAAATTTGTTATTGTTTTTAATTTCTCTTTTGATAATCAACTTTCTTACCAAATTCTTCATTCAAGGTTTTGATCACTTTTCTAGTTTGATCATCGGTAAAACTAACACTCCACATCTGGTCGCCATCATATCGAACGGGCGTTACGACAAATTGATCAAAATTTTCTTCATTAATAGAACTTGGAGCAGCATTAGCTAACGCTAGTAGACTGAGAACCGCAAAAATTGCGAATAAAAGACCCCTTTCCATTTTAAAGCCGTTAGATGTTGTTTAAGAAATGTCGGTAATTCTATAACAATATTGAAAACTAACCGTATGAAGTCTCAACTGAAACTAAGTTCCTCATGAATTTGTGTCAGGCTTTATAGTACTTCGACGGTGACTAATTTTCAACTAGACATTTGATGCTATGTATATACAATTATACATTGTTCACTGAAAAATATACATATATACCATTTCAGAGTGTTAAAGAGTTGATATAGTTTGATAAACAAAAATACGTGCAGCAATTTAGCAAAATTGTCTGTTCCATAAAAAACAAGCGTGCGATAAGATTTCACTTTTTAAGTGGAATGAAAATAGACCATTGGTTTTTTTCCTTTCACCATCAAGTATATTTTTTTTTTTGCAAATTCTTCAATTTAATTCAAAAATGTTCACAAATTTTTTTCGGGTATTTATTTAGATAATTGTCTTAGGTAATTGATAAAAGCTAATCTACTTTTAACTAAATTTTCTTCGAAATGGCAATTGCTGCTTTGCAGCTTAATTTTATGACTTCGGTCATTGCTTTGTAGAATGGCGCTTGTTCGGCTCCATGATCAATGCCAGTGTCGTGATGTTCCTGCTCTTCGTCGCGGAACTTCGTTATCGTGGCCAAAAGCTCCTACAAAAAAAATATTGGAATGTAAATAAAAACATGAATAAGTGGGTGCTTTGAAAAAAAGGTGACTAATACATGGATGTCCCGTACCTTATCAACTTTTGGATTTTCCATGATTTGTCGCAATTGATCATTGTAATGTTCAACTATGACAGTTTCAACAGCAACTGTGCATGCCATGGCTGCTTTTTCTCCGAGTAAAGCAGTTCCAGCTCCTAATACATAGCCGGCTACATTCCAAATGGGTGTCATAACCGTCGGCCGAACGCGATATTCTCGGATTAATCGTTCAAATTCACTTCGATGCTTCTTCTCCTGCTCCCACATATGTTTCAAAGTTGGACCGACCGATGTTTTACCCAGGACTGCGTGTTGTCCGGCATAAATTCTATCGGCACCCAATTCACCGGCATGATTAATACGAATTATTTCATCGATTAATGGTGATGCTCGCAATCGTTGTGTTTTTGTTGCTTCCGAAGCAGCTGCGCTTGTACTGGCTTGTTTCACCAAATGGGAATACTTTGTGGGCAATTGAAGAATACGATGATTTAGACGGTTCATTGTGATACTATGAAAATAGAAAAAATCAATATCATTCTGACATCTATTTTTTCTTTAATAAAATTGTGGCAAATGCGCCTCGAAAAAAAACAATGACCCAAACTTGGCTTCAAGTCGAAATTGCAAATTCTTGAGATGAAATATGTTATGGTAATTTCGTCCAACAAAAATGGCTTCAGTTGCTCAAACAATAGAAATGTGTCCTAATAACCATTTCTCGTTGAGTGCAAAAATTGGACATAATGTTTGAAAACTTACTAAAACTTATAAACGATAAGAAAAAATGGCATCAATTCAAAATATGAAAATGGCTTTCGTCTAAATTTTATTTTCACCATCAAGTGACCAATAAATTGAATATGTGCTATGTTTGGAATATGGGTAAAAATAGAAATTCAATTTGTATGATTGTTTGAGATGAATTCTCTGATTTCATATTTTCATCGATATGCAAGTGTTATGTTGGTTGATATGGCTGCTTGTTTAGTTCATTAGTTCGCTGGTGCAGTTGTATCTCGGATTTTTTGTAAGCCCGATTTACCCAAAATCATCAATATTCTGCAAAGAAGAAACGTTCAGAATGAGTTTGTAAATTAAATTCTGGGAATGTTTTAACTGAAAATGCGCGCATACATTTTACGTAAATTGGGATAATAGCACGAGATGTACATCAACCCTGGTACTGGGAATGGTCCAACAAAGTTTATTTGGCATCGATTGGCGAGAGCAATGGCCATCAGCACGGCACAGCGTTCGGCAGTCATTCGACGATCAGTAGCTTGAACGGATTGATTGTAATTCTGTCCGTGTATGCCGGTAAATGCATGCTGCAAAAACTCGGTATGTGTTGGGCCCGGGCAGAATAGTGTTACATCCATGGTTGGGTGATCAAGTTTAAGTGTTTCAAAATAGCCCTAAAAATTGATGAATTTGTCACAAATCGGCAGTTTGACAGTTTAGAAACAAATATATAACCCACGTGTATTGCGTGTTTGGCTGCCGTGTACGATGCTGAGTTCGGCACTGATATCAATCCAACAGAGCTCGATGTAACCGCAACGTGACCTCGACTTTTACAATGCCTTACATAAATGCGCGTCAAATTTACGATGCTAAATACATCAAGTTCAAACAATTCACGATCAACGCTTAGATCAATTTCTTCGAACGATGCCCTCTGCGAACGTCCAGCATTATTCACCAAAATATCGAGACCACCGAAATGATTAACCACCGTATCAAAGTAGCGTTGATGCTGGCTAATGTCTAGCATATCCATTTTCAATACCAAAATGTCATTTGGTCGTAGTAATTTCGATTGCTTCAAGCATTCTTCTTTCACAGCCTGCAAACGATCACCGCTTCGCGCCGAAATACACAACCTCACATGATGTTTTGCTAATTCAATTGCCAACTGTTTACCAATCCCGCTACTCGCGCCTGTCAACCACACCACTTTTCCTCTCAATGTATCTAATAATAGTGCAAACGATGATAACCCATTTTATGTCTCATTGTTTGAATGCGATATCATGCGGCAAATGTACGCTTACCTATTGGCTTGCCCCATCGCTCTTTCAACCACAATTCAATGTCCGAATCAAGAACCACCCACAAAATTATATTTATTAAATAGTATAAAAATACCACAATCCCAATGAATTCAAAAATACCCATCGTTTTTATTTTACTTGCAAACGCGATTGAACTTCAAACCCAACAGAATTGATATTCTCAAAAAAATTTTAATAACACCGATTATATTATCAAGAATTTAATGACAGTAAATCGTGTAAAAAACTCTTTTTTATGTGTATTGGTGAGATACAGAGGCAAAGATGGATTGATTAAAGACAGTCAACCACACATTTGAGCGGCAAGCATACGCAGCTCAACAAACAGACACAGACTTCCATTGAATTGTACTACTGTTTTCGAACATGCACTTTAATCACAACTACTTAAATTTTTATGCCCAAAATTCATTTTCCTTTGTCTATCTTCGGCATACATATCAACGCAATTTCAATTTACATTGCAGACACTTCTTACCCATACACAAAAGAACATTAAACTCGGATGTGTGTGTGCATAAGTTTATTAACTCATGGATGAGCCTATTGAAGTGCGAATTTATGATTGTTTTCGATACATTCAAGAGAAGTTTACTTATCTTTGAATTTTCAACACGATTATTCTTCCACTAAATAAGGTCATTGTCGATTCTGAACATTTGCCACGAAAATTATTTAAATTACTCAATGCTACTTACTTTCTTCGTACCCTCTTGGAATTTTAGCCGAGAATTATTGAACTTTGGTAATAATTGCGTATTGTTTTGAAATTCGCTTTGAAAAGACTAGAAGAAGTGGGAAAAGTCATAACAAATCGAAAGTACGTACGTATGATATTTGAGGTTATGTTGAACTTGACAGTCAGCAGAGTGCGTTCCATCTCCATGGAAACTGTTTTAAAATGAAATATCCCATCAATTTTCTTAAAGTCATCCTTTTTATTCAAACTCTTAGATTCTTAATAATCATTTTTTTATTTATATAATTTCAAGTTTTTTTGAAAACATTTATTAACCGTAGGAAAGTGTGCAAAATGTTTGCGTTGAATCATTTTTCGTTTTGAAAAACTAATTTAACTGAATGTTCGAATAAATCTTTGTTGATTTTCTTCAGTCGTCTGACTTCGGCTCGAAGTTGTTCCACTTTATTCAGATCGGCTCCACTCATTCCATTCACAATTTCTCTTTCCTTTGACGTCACCACACTTTCTCCAACGACTCCAACAGTTTCATTAACAATTTCCACTTCAAATCGATAATGTTGTGACAGAGCCTTTGTGGCCGATAAAACGTTGCTTTGTCGTCAGTGTTTCATGAATCAAATGGTATTCTCTTGTGCGTGGCGGTGTTTGCAGATTGAATTCAAAAATGTTTCCTTCGATTGATCCAATGTAAGCTTTCGTATCTAAATTGTCAATTGTAATCGATTTGAGCGCCTCGGGAAACACTAAATCCAACAAAAGTGTGCCGGAGGTTAAATCGTAAATTCGGCATGTACGATCCAGTGAAACCGATGCAGCTAAGGCACGCATTTGCCAATGAAGATATAGGTAATTGAAAGTGTATGGTCGGAAAATGAATACAATGGAATTGTTTCCTGATTGCTGTAACCAGTTGCGGTTAAAATGCTGCTCAATTTCCAAACGAGCATCATTCCATCTTGACCAGCACTGATGAAATGTGACCCATCATCAGTGAATGAAAACGATGAAACCGTTTGATAATGCCGTGATAACATCGTCAGCATAACACCCAAACTGATTTTCCAAATGTAAATAATTTCACTGACAGCCGCTACGCAATAGACACCATCGGGTGAAACGGTAAGTGCTGTCACTTTGTCCGGAACGACAAATCGTAAATTCGGCTTGTTTCTGGCTGTTCACCGGCCAAATGTGTAACAATGGCTTTGAAATATTGGCTGGTATGATGAATTCTTGATTGAAAAACGAAAATCCATGTGGTGTTGTTGCTCCACCACCTAAAATATTTACATCGCCACAGTCAATAAATTGAAAATCGGTATGAATTAGACTGATTTTTTTTGTCACCTTTGTAAGTGCATAAAAGCGTTCCAGCCTGTGGATCCCATGCACAGCAGTTCCATAACGAACCATTTGCTTCACTTGTCACAGCCACTTCAATTAAATTGCTCATTTTTTCTCCAAAAAATCGTCATTTACTATTAACAAAACACACTGCCGTGTCGATTCAACAACAAACCGCACGTGTTGTTAAACTGATTTGAAGTTTCCAGCTGTCATGTGCTTGTGTTGTTGAGTGGCGACTCAGTTAGGGTCACTGTCTTGAGTTAGAATAAAAAAAATTGTTCGGTAATTCAATGGAAATGGTCAATATATTGACTTATTTGTTTATTTCATTTGTTTTTTCGTTTATTTTACGTGAAAATCTATTAATAGACAGAGAAATGCAAATGAAAAACTTTTAAATTGAATTCCATTCACCGAAAATAATTCGAATGTGCGACGCACCCTAATCATATGTCAAATGTCGCTACGAAGCATTTGTTCAGCAATTCAGCTCAGTTGTTTGACGCGCCTTTGGTATTCAGCATTTTTTCTGCCTAAATATTACGTATTTCGCTTCACAGTGTTTGTATTTTTACTTGTCAAACTGTGTACAAAACCAAGCACGAACAAAAAAAAACAGTGCATCGCGTCTGGTTTAAAGCGGATAGATTGCAATTTTCACAATAAATTGAAATAATTTCCCGCAAAAAAATTGTTTAATATGTGGTAAAAACGGTGCTATTCCATATAATTATAAATGTTTGTTAGTCATTTGTTCGTATTCTGTCCATTCATAGTGAAACACGTCCAATTTTTTTTCTGTTCTTCGACCGATTGTAATTAAGACGAAATGCATTCCCTTTGTTTTTAAAATGAAAACAAGTGTTATTTTGGGTGTTAAATGAGTAGGGAAAAATGAAGCAGCAACCAGAACAGGGTAAAGACACATTATTGTCGATGACTCAACCGCAGTCGGCAAACGGCGATGAAATTACCAATGGAAACAGTTCAATTATTGAGTTCTTGAATCAGGAGCAAAAGTGTTTAATTCCCACGGAGAATGATTTAACGAGTGAAGTGGATGTAGACAGTCTATTCGAGGAGATAAATCGATTATCAGACGAGTCAGATGAGAGAAGTGTCGATGAAATTCTGCGAGAAGCTGAATTATTGCTATCAAAACAGCAACAAATTGAATCCGATTTAAATCGTAGCGAACGTGATGAAGATGACCGCGATGAGAAAGATGTGGACGAAGCCCGCGAATCGAATGGGTTGAGTGAAAGTGTCATTTCGTATAATACATGGCATTTCAATGAGCCTTTGGAGACAATATCGGAGAAAACAACACCGCGAACAACAAAGTCGCAGAGTAGCGACAGTCGAGATGAGCAAACACTGCAGACAATTGACGACCTGGAATCCGATGGACACGTAAGTGCGGTGGAAAAATGCGTAAGTTTCGTGTTTATATCATATGGGTTTCATTTTATTCTCTACATCAAAATATAATAAATTAATATGGGATTGGCTACAATTAGATCCAAGCATACTACTTTTTTGTTGTTTTTGTTTTGGCTTGGCTTGGCTTGGCTTCGGGGATTTAATTTCCTACGCCAAATGCACAGTTGGAAAACTTGTTATTGCATTGAAAGTTTTTTTTTGTTTCTGTGTTTTCAACTTGATCGATTAATGATTAGCGGAATTGCAACAGCCTTCTATTCATCGGATCGACGAATGTTGGCCACCGCACGCGATACAGTATGAACAAATGTACAAGCCTCTTTGGCCGTAGGCTCAATGTATTGGGCAGGCAAAACAAAACCATAACGGCCCTTGTCACGCAATTCGATTGTGTAACTGTATTTAATGCCAATACTTTTGGCCCAATCATCCGAGCCACCCGCAGCTGGATACAGTAATGCCGCCGACGGTCCCACCGTGTAAACTTGATTGTCTAGATTTCTCATATTCTGTAAAAAATCATTGCAAAAAACACACGCGCTTCATCAATTAATGCTCTTTGTTTAAAATGTAACGTTTTACTCACCTGTGCACCTTCTTTGCCGACACGTTCCAAGTCTTTGTAATCGGGTGGTACAACATCTTCATAGCCCCATGGATGCAAAATGTATTGACCGTAACTGTGAAATGTCAAGAATGCGTAGAAGTTTTCACGCTTATTATCGAAGAATCGTTTGACAGCTGCTGTTTCAGGCTCGGAGAAAGCACCGCGTCCGGCATAAATTTCCTGGCATGGATTTGCTGAAGTTCCTTTGCCTCCCCATTTGTATCCATAGTTTCGATTCAAATCGACACCACCACAACGACCGGTATTTCCACCACTGCGATTTTTACGCCACAATCGATCGGATCGGTGTGTGTATTCATACCCGTCTGGATTATGCACCGGTAAAACATACCAAGTTATGCTACGAATATATGACGGCTGATCGTCCCAATTTTCCACCAAATCATTCACAAAGTATGTTACCGATGCCGGACTGATCCATTCACGCGCATGAATACCACCATCAATCCAAATTGCCTTATTTTTCGGATTTCCATCCGATATTCTGCAAACGGAAAATACAAGACGAAAATTTCAATCATAACTACTATCAACTAATGGGAAAAGTTTTGTTACGGTTTCGCACCTTAAAACTTTTAATGGTCGTCTTTCGTGCGAATATCCAATGGTTTGAATTGAACACAAGTCAGGGTATGTTGCAACCAAATAGTCCAAGTACGAGAAGATATCACTGAGTCGATGGTACGCACGCCATGTTAAACGATGACCTAAATGAATGACGAAAACAAAACGAGAAAAAAAAGACAACGACCACATTGCATTAATACAAATTAATTTACACTTTCTTTTGACAAACTTCTGCACATTCAACGAATCTCTCTAATTCCGAAACAAAATCTATCTCATATGAAACAGGTTTTACAAATTGTCACTGGTTTTTTTTGCGCTCGAAATGTTTTTTCGTATATTTAAAAAAAAAGCAAATCTTGAAAAACAACCATTGACCTGTTGACAACCATTGGAAAGAGAAATTATTTAAATGATAAAAAAAATGCTCAGCATGTGTTGAAAGAAAGTGAGAAGCAAACAAATTTGATTACTCTTTCTGATTACATATCACACACATTCATAATTTATGTTTTCATGGTCGTATTGTTGTTGTTGTCTTTGTCGATTTTATCTGGTCAATAAGAAGCAGAGTCAGTTAAATCACAGTCAAATGATCCTTATCAATCTTGAGTGATCGAAAGGAAATAAAAATGCATGTTGATATATTCGAAAAAAAGAAAGAATGTAGTTGAATGTGTTCATTACCCCATCGAGCGTCTGGCCAATTTTCCATTGCACCATCAAATGAATTATAGCCCATGTATGCACCTTTGAGACGTTGATAGGCCGATTTCGAAATGGTTTCGGGTATTTTATAGCTGCGCCACAAACCAGTAAATCTCGCTGTAAACAGTTTTATTTGTTTTGTTTTTGGTTTTTTAGTCTCTCTAATTTTCTTTGGTGTGTGTATGTGTCAGCTTGGATTGGATTAGGCAGAAGCAACAAAGTGTTATGTATTTTTTCATTCTCTAGGTGCGTATTTTCTGTCATTTCGTTCCGTGTGTAACAAACGTGCAAAAACTCCATTTGAATGTAAAATGCTTGTAATTCGAGTGTTTTGGTGAGGTGATTTCGGAAATTGCGAAATACTTGAGTTACAACATTTTATCAAGTGAATTAAAGCATGCCTTTTCTTTCTTTCCTTTCCCCCTTTTTTTCAAACGCAAACAGTTCACGCGATCTTTTCGCGCAAATATCGATCAAACAAAACTGTGAACATGGACTTCCTTCCCCAATGAGTGTTGTGAGTGATAAACTAAAAAATGAACATGTAATTCCGTAGACCCATTACCGATGCAAATGCGTTACTTTTAACGCTGGCGATGATTTTCCCCGACGCAGCCATTCTAATCAGCGTTTATGGCTGTATCTACACAAAATCAATCACATTCACACATAACAACACACACACACATACACAAACAGCGGCTGGCAAACAATCATGAAGGGAGCATTACTATGATAATTACCAATGTGTGTTATTGTTTCTTTTCGCTCTTTTGTTTTTCTCCTTCTGCCACGGTTCGGGCTGAGAAGGTGTGCCACATGCTTGCACTCAATGAATTTCATTTTTATTATTTCAATACTCCAATGAAACAGAATTTCATTTAATTGTAATCCATAACACGATGGGTGCAATTTGTTGGTTTTTAAATCACACTGTCACGCAAAGAACACGCGATTTACATATAACTCCGTGAACAGAGGAAAAAAACACACACAAAAAACGTATGCATTTTTACGTTCCAATAAAACAACCGTTAGTTCTGCGATGGTTCAGTTTATGTTCAATATTTTCTCAAAATGGTTCTCATTTTTCGCTTCTTCAACATATCCAACTGGAGGTTATTGTGCCTTCAACGCATTCAAATTGTCTGCGCGAACGGTGTTGACATTCTTTGAATTTACCCTCTTGATATCAAATTTACGTGTTTGCCACAGTTTGCCGTAAACAGATCGAGTAACGGAACGAGTCGCCGATCGTTTTGCGCATTTTTAAAATATTCACGATTTGATTTTGAGCCATAAAAATGTGCATAATTACTATATATATAACTATATTATGAATCTGTGTTAAATGTTTATTGTGGCTCCCTCGCCTCTCGGCGGCACTGAATTATTTATTTTAGTTGTTAGCGTGTGTGTGAATGTGATTGGCTGGTTTTCTTTTTGCTATCAAACTCAAACGAAAGTGTCGTTTCGTTCTGGTGCAGTTGTGATGTCTTGTGCGTCTTGTATCAATTGGTGAATTTTCAATATGTTTATTTACATACCGTTTCGGTTTTGGAGCGCTTCGATTTCCTCTTGCGGTGGATTCTCGGTTTCAATTTGCTTCTGCATATCGGCGATGAGAATTGTATATCGAATGTTATTGTCAGTTAACACTTGACGTACTCCATCGACAGCATCTTTTTTCAAAAAGACATCCACCTCTGAACCATTTGTACTCCACAGTGCCACATCTAAACAAAAACAAAACCAAAGCAAAAATAAAATTGTGAAAAAGCCAACCTTTACCCTTGAGAGAAAAAAAAGGAGTTGATAACGTTGAATCACATTTTGAATCGCAGCGATGAAAGTAATATGTCTTCTTATCAGTCAAAACAAAACCGAAATGTGGAAGTTGTAAAATAGAAATCACGTAGCTTAGTGATTGACGAAATACGTTTGCTTTTTGTCGGAACATTTTTTTTTTCTCGTTTGCAACCGATATGAAATAACACGAATGAAAAAAATGAACGATGAAAAAAAATATAACAAAAACATTGCGAACCACTCTCGTTTGTGGGCAGACAGAAACCTTGCGGGCGAAAAATTATTCTATGAATTTATATGTGCATTCCGTTTTATGATTTCAATGCAATAAAAAAGTATATAGAAAGGAAAACATGTTCCGTTTTATTGCGTACTCTCGCTTTCTTTCTTCTTTTGTTCAATGAACGCGGTCAAAATGAAAAGAAGAGAAAAAAACAGCAACCACAACACCATTCAAAGATGAGAACCCCAAAAGAAATATGTGCAATTTGTGTATCACGTGGTCTTGCGTTGAATTTTCACAATTAAACGGTAGCAAGCATGTAATTAATGCACATTAATGTGCAATATGGTGTGTGTGCCTTTTGTGTCTTGAAAAACAGATGAGAGTTATGAAACAGTAACATCATAATGTGGAAAACATAATTAAATTAATTGAACGTCTGCATGAAAAGCGTATTCAAGCGTCTCAACAGCATGCGGTTTGGGCAATTTATTTGAATAACACTAACCGAAATTTCTCTTTAAACCGATGACCACACGTTTGCTGAATTCGTCAGCAAAATTCACACTCCAAAGTTGTGCACCATCATATCGAACGGGCGTTTCAATATTGGCGATTGCACTCAAATTCTTCAATTCGGTAGCATCAAGAGCTCGTGGAGCGGCTTCAATCGATGCAAACAAATTGAAGACCGCAAATATTGCGATCAAGGAACACTTTTCCATTTTTGAAAAAATTAAAAAAAAACTACACAAATTTCCGAATATTTCAATCAGCACAATATTGTATTTGAAGAGAAAAAAATAAACCGAAGTATATGCTCGACCACGACCGGTCAGTCAACTGAAGCTTTGCTTACAGTGAGTTCGGCTTTTATAGACTATCGGCGCATACGCTAGTACTTCTTCGCACCGGCCATTCGCAACGAAGATACAAAAGAAGGAACAGATTCGATTTGATTACAAAAAAAAAACAAGAAAGAAAAAACCGGTGGCGGGGGCAAACGGTAACGTTCGATTGGCAGCTCAACGAGCGCGTATGCGAAGATGTTACTGAAAAAATGTGAAGTGAATTTCAAATATTACATACATTTTTTTCTTCATTTCAAAAGTAGTTAGCGAGAGTATACGATAAGAAATGTGAAACCAAAACGAATAGCAAACAAATCGCCACTCTTTTCTTCTTCGCAGAATTTATTTTGAGAACATATTTGGTTAAATCACATGTTAAGACTAAATCTCACCATTTCTACACACGGCCAGTCAATTGCACATTTGCGCAGAATGCAAATTAGTCTCTTGACATCTTTTATGATCGTAGAATCAGTTTAATGAGTAGTCATAAAGTGACAAGACATATGAAAGTGCCAATAATTACTGTATACTAATAATTGACCATATTCTGTTTATTGTTTACAGAGAGACCAAGTTCGTACGTCACATCGTACGAAAATAGCCACACCGACCAAGAACGCAAATCAGAAACGTAAATCCGAACCACAGCAGCCAATTGCAGCATTACACGCACACATTGCGGTCGATGAATCAACAACACTCGAACTGGAAATACCGGATAAAAAGTCTCCCGAATCGACAGCGATAATCGTAAATGAACTTGAAAACAATGATCGAGTGAACGGCAATGGTGTTAGCCGTGATAACGATTTGCCAAAGACCTGTTACAAAATCGAAGCGAATGAGTACGAAGACGAAAATGGTGCGATGTCGCTGCCAATTTTATCGAAACCACGATCGAGCCGTTTGTCTTCAGTTGCTACACTTGTTTCGCCCACGACACCGATCATTTCGGCGATATCAGCGTCCAGCTCATTCTCGTGGACACGCGAACGTGCACTTGAGCAGCAAATTGATAGCTTGCAAGAAACTTTAAAAGACACCGAAGAAAGGCTGCATAGTTTGCGCTTGCAGTACGACAATGTGTCGCACATGCATCGATCGATGCGAGATAGAAATCATCAAATGCAGGAGGAAATGGATCGACTGAAAATTGACGCGCAACACCTACGTGACTGTGCCAATATACTCCGAAATGAACTGCAAGCTGCGCGAAAAGATCGCGTCGATGCTCTTGAGGTACAGACCATGCTACAACGCGAACTGGACACAGCCCGGGAAGAAAAGCGTCGTGCTACCGAGGAAGTTGGGTCAAATGAGCGCCAAATATTGGATTTGCAACGACAATGCAAAGAAATGGAACGCATTTTGGCACGCAAAAATCCAGACGCCATGCACATGCTGTTGGGTGAGTCGGATTTTTAGCACTACATGAAATGTAGAGCTACTTATCTGCTTTTTTTCTTAATACTTTTTGAGTGATGAAACAAATTATGGTGAATTTGAATTTTATGCTCATATTTTTTATTTAATTTAACCCTCCAATGCATACAACCGCCTCTAGACGGGCAACATTTGAATGCCTGTAGAACGTAAACCGTACATCGGATCACATTGCTTCAAAGGGAATTTTTATTCGTCAATGTTTTCTCTTCATTTTTGTCGTTGGCAATATTTGTCTATGTAGTGTGATTGTAAAGTTATTAACAAAAATGTGTGCAAAAACAAAAATTTGACAAAATAAATTATTTGGTTTCCAAATTAGACCAAACATGTGTTTTAAGATTGATGAACATCTCAGCATTTCGTAAGGCACGGATATATCCGAGCATATCGACGACGCATACAGTGGCGTGCGTTGCTAGAATGTGTATGTTGTTGCTGCGTGCAGCCACATCAACTGAACACACTTCAGAACACATGTTTGAATTAGACACATTTTTGACACTTTTAAACAATGGATTTGATTGTTCTCTGATTAATGTCAGTCGTATTTTCTGACTAAACCATGAGGAATTCAGGATTATGAATATTTTTTTAAATATCTATGGCCAAAAATCAACCAAGTACCAGTACTCCCAGCCCTGGGAAAAATTAATGCATTAGAGGGTTGAAACAGGTGCACTAACGCCAATCAAATTTTTATTATCAAATGTTGTTTAAAAATTACATTAATTTTTCGTATAATATTTTCTGAGTCTTGAACAGAATTAAAGTGATTTTATATTCTATGCTTATATTATTTAATTTAAACCAAAGGCAGCATATTTTTAAAAAAAACCGAATAAAACCAAGATCTTGTAATTCATTTTGCAAATAAATATATTACTTCAAAGTAACTTTGATGAAATACATTTCATGTAGTGCGCCAAAAAATAGTTTGTTGTGAAACAACAAAATAGATTAAGTAACTAAAAACTCAAGAACTGCGGTCTTGTTTATTACTGTGATTTCAGTTGAATTATTGGACTATTCCATTTTATTCAATTTTTTTTTATTTCATAGGACCAGGAGCAAAGAAAGCTGAAGATCAAGCCCAAATGGCGACCGCTCGCCGTCATTTAGAACAACGGATTGCGCAACTCGAAAACGATGCCAAAGAACAAGATCGCAAGGCCCAACTTATATTAGCTAACGTTCAATCACGCTTCAGTTCGGTGCAATCAAAGTATGAAACGCACATCAGTGACTTAGAAACGCAAGTGCTAAGGTAAGTTGCACAATTATTCATCAACATTTCGTGCGGTGAACGGGCTGAGAATAACATTATAATGAGTAGGAAATCCCATTGTATATTTTGATATGCATATTTTTTCTCCTGTAAATTGCAAACTAACTATCTCGTCTTGATAGCCTTATACTATGTAATTTATTGAATCTGTATTTAAAAAATGCACAATACACAAATGTGATGAATTAATGGAATTGAAAATTGAGCGTAAAATCCAAACAATTTCTTCAGATATTTTAAAAATTAATCTAACATCTGATCAATGCTGTCCAAGCCGTTTTCATCAATGGAATGGATAGAATTTTCTATTTTCTGTGAGTTCATTCAAGTCGAGCGTCAATGTGCAATGTGCCTAGCTCGCAACGAAGTTCAGATTCAGAAAACGTGAGATAATGCATTACGGCGTGTGAAACTAGAGAATGAAGCCTAAAAAAACATGAGTGGAATCGAAAATACAATGGAATTTTGGTACAATGTTTTTAAATGAGAAAATTGTATTCAGATAGCAGACGACTCTATCACTCGTTTCATTTGATAAACCAATTTCTTCATTTATCAACGAAATATCAAATTCCAAGTAAATCTTTTTCGTACCGAGAAGAGATGTGATAACGCCGTATCATTGTTATGCAAACAAGATTCGACAATCGACATGATTCAGCGAGAGCTGCCAATTCAACCAACAAACATGTATGAAAAATATCGCTTTGAATCGATAATTCAATGAACAAGCCATTGATTTTGTTGTCATTGCCACAATGTTACTCTTTCTGCCATTTCCTGCTTGCAAATCAAGAATTTTCAAAAAGAACGTATCCTGCGACCAATAGTTTGGACAGCACTGCTTTTGATGTTATTTATCCTATTTTCAAGCGATTATAATGGCAAAATAATACTCTAAATGACATTTTTGATGTGTTTTGACACAAAGGCTATATATAAACTTGATAACATCTAATCGAATATTTTCAGTTTGCAGCAAATAAATCAGATCTTGCATGAGAAAATTGAAGCGCAAGCTCAGCTGAAATCGCCCAATAACAATTATATGATTGATCAGCAGTCGTGTGGCACTCAAACGCTGCCGTTTGCCGATAAGATGTCTTGCATAACAGCCAGTGTATGTACGCAAACGGAACCAAAATCACCGACCGTTTCTCCAGCACCGAAGGCACCCACCAGAAAGCCGGTAAAATCGGTCACTTCGACAAAGGAAGAGACACATCTTCTGGCAACAGTCCGAGGGATGCGCGTCGATTTGGTAATCAAAGAAAAGGCATTGCAACGTCTGACTCGTGAGCTTGACGATTGCAAGAAAACGATAAAAAAACTTCAAAAGGAGAATGAAAGTAAGTGACACATTTCTCTTCGTCCAATTTTTTAAATAAAAATTAATAATCCAAAAACGTAACCAAAATAATGTCTTTGACAGGTAATCGCGGTGATAAGGCTACAAAGAAACCATACGATCCGGCACAGTTCACCGAAAAATCCAATCCGTCTAATGCTCAATTACAGGAAAAAATCAAATTACTTGAAATGGACTACAAATCGCTACACGATAAGCGACTGCAAGATGTAAGCCACAAACTTGAATTGAATTCAGACTGAAAAATCGAAATAAAACAATGTTTTCATAATTTCAGTTGAAGATTTTGCAGTCAGCGCATGAACGCGAACTATCTGCCAACAAGGAGACCGTCCGTCTTTTGGAACAGCGTTTAGCGGAACGTGATGAGGCGTTTGCCATCATTCAGAAACACAATAAAATCCCGATCGATTATTTTGCGTTGAAGGCGAAGGTAAATGCGAAAAAATCATAGCATTCAACATTACCATCATGCATACCGCTTAAAAAGCCAAACTAATAGACAAAATTTACACCCAAAACACCCAATCATATGATTGGCATTACGCAACCAAAATTTACTAACAACATGCTTCTTATTTGCACTTGAACGTTCACAATTGGCTTATCATTTGGAGACGATGACGAATGTAGCTCATCAGCTTTTGATGATAGTCAATTTTTTTCAGCTGATAGTGTAGTTATGTGATAACAAACCACTTGAAATTCGGTCAATTGATGAAACTGAGAAGAGACAAAATTTGCATATTGTGGTTTCTTTTTTTTTGAATCACCGTTTGTGGTTGATAGATTTCATTAATTGCACACACTTTTTTTGTTGGTTTGTTTTGTTTTTTATTCTGATGTTGAGGTCATGATTGTAGTGAAAGTTGACACAGTTAGTGTATAGAGATAACATTAATTTATCCATGTTTGATTTTTTAAGTCAGTAATTGTTAATTTTCCACAATTTATTGTTCGAAATCAGATACCGTCCGGGTTTGGTAGAGAAAAAAACCAACACAAACAAAAGCGTTTTGACAACTTTTGTAAATTCCAGTCTGTCCATATGTTTTTTTCTCTTTCCCGCGAAGTTTGCACTAGATTAGAAACACTTCACTATGTCCACATTGAATCCTCAAAGTTCAATCTTCTGTGATAAATGGAAAAAATGAATAATGTATGTCACGACAGAAACTATTGTAAATTCAACCGAAAAGACGGTTAATCTTTATTTTGTGTTTTTTTGTGGTTGTGAGAATTTAGTATAAAATTTATAATATTATTGTAGATGAAATTTAAGATATAGGTTGGTATGTGCTAAGCTCAGCCTTGCTAAGTTTAAAATTGTTACCACGAAAATTTCCGTTTTATTTTGGTTTTGCAACACACATTAAACTAACATTTATTGTCATATCACACATTCAAATTACACGTTTTATTGGCCGAGACTAACAGCAAAATTCACTGCCACAATCTTAACGAAATTACTATTTGGAACACGATGTTTGAGAATACATTGCAAAGACGAAGAAGAAGAAAAAAATAAACAAAAACACAATTTTAGGTGTCATCGCTTGAACGAAGACACACTGAACGTGAGCAGCGGCTTCATATTTTAGTTGATGCACTGAGCAAGGGCCGTCTTACTGGGTCATTTGATCAACGTGAAGGTTCTTAACTATACATCGATGGAAACTGCCTGGCTCGAGAGAAAGAGTTTACGAAAGCGTGAGCATTTTATCATGTACGAGTTTCGAAATCCCAAATTCCAGGCCGAATTTCGTTGCGCGGCGAAAATTATCCAGATAAATAAATGTCTTAAATAGTATGTAGTTGAATTTAAGATCTGTGTGAAATGAACAATACAATTTTTTTCTTGCATTTACTCTATATTTTGATCTCAGTTCCAATGTAGGACTTTACCTTGACCAAAGATTATTACTTTTTCCTTATTTGAATGATATTTTTTTTATTTTCAAAACTTTATCAAATAGACAATGAGTAATGAATAAATGACTCGATAAAATCACTTAAAATTCGTAGTTTTACTTAAGTAATGTTGAAGATTGTGTAAGTTTCGAAATAATTTTATAAGCCTTGTTGTTACAACAATTGTTTACTATTTGTGCTCTACTTTGACTCGAAAAAATTTCCACTTCGAAATCCCCAACGAATTCCAATTGCGTGAATACGAACGACCTGGTCAAGATTCGCTTCATTTGAATTCGTAGTTGTGTACGTTGCAATTGAAGTAAACTCTGGTGCAATTTGCATTAACTTTGTTCTGATTTCGATAAGAATGCTCTAAAAAAGGCCGTATTGATCCAATTCGGCTGGCATGTGAGTATTCAAATGAATCGAAGCGTAGTTTCAAGAATTCGACCATGCCAATAGTTGCATCAATTGTAATTAATCGTCTTCAAAATTTATCGCAGTAAACTTAGATGGATAAAAGGACAGCAAAATCCAACGATTTCAACGGCAATTTGGGTTCAGATCAATCAAATATCCACCGAATGTAAGTAGAGCGGTGATGACGTTTCCAGGTTAAAAAGTTATGCGTTCGGATTTGCTGGAACAGAAAACTTCAAGGGGGATTTTACTATCGTTAAACCTGATTTAATTTCATGTTTATTCTTTCCATGCGAACATCCAGGTGATGTAGCGAACAATTCGCTTCCGCTTTTGATTACATTTTTAATGAGTTCCCTTTTCATTCATTCCACGAAAATCAATGTCGATTAGAACACTTTTCCATTTCATCACTAGAGCCCGTGAATATTTCATTAATGAAAGAGTGGCTGCGTAAAATCCATTGAAAATTCATTCAAAAACAACTTTAACTTAGGGTTGAAAAATGCGAAGAGAGGTATTTTATTTCCATCAATCAATCCAAAAAAAATGTGTCACTGACACAAATGTACGAATTAAAAAATCGATGATTTCTCAGCCTGTCGATAGTATTTGGCAATACTCACATGCTACATCAAGCATTGTGGTTCTTCATTAAGCATCAAATCACACATTGAAACTGAATTCAATAAACAATTTGGATTGAATTAGTTCCATTCGGCAACCGTTGGCATATTTAATTTATGCAAATGCATAATCCATATTGTATAATTCACAGTTGCATCGGCACCAAGACATGATACGTATTTAAGACATTGGGCAATGGGCATGCAATATTTTTTGGTTCACTTAGCATAAACTCAAATGTTCTGTGTGAATGCGGTTATCAATTCTAATCTCGACCATTGGTCAAATGTGAGCATATATCTATCGAACGATCGACCCCATTCAAATTGAAATTCGATCGAACCGCTATAATTAGGTTAGTATGTGGATATAGTATGTGCTGATAATGTTCATTCTCTTATTTTAGAATGCAATTGAAATGTGCAAATGTTTGCAATTCAATAGACGTAATTTGAGGGTAATTTTGATAAAATGTTGGCTTTGAAACAAGATCAAATCAATTTAAAGTCACTTGTTTTTTCTTTATTTTCTTGTACAGAATAGTTTAAATCAAAATGTATCAAAATAATAATGGACACACAACTTAGAATCAACGCAAACCGAGAGGGCTTGAATTGATGCTAATATAGGTATTTGACACAAATTCGGTTCAAAACACCATGTTAGAATCAATCATGACTCATTGGAGAATTAGGCTGCGTATGGTATTAACAGAGGCGGCATCGAACGGATTTTTAGCTAACACAGCTTTGTTAACACAGAAATCATGCACACGATTTCTCTGACACTCAAGAAATTTGCATACATTCAGGCGATTCGAATGATTTTTCGTATACGCAAGAAATACATTGTTAACATAGCACATACGGCTTCATTGGTTAGAATACAGATTGAACTTACATTAGATTGAGAAACAGGCTTAAAATTTATGGCATCTCATTCGATTTGCTTTTAGTTCGCAAGTACGATGCACCACGGAACACAATGCGGATATTCCGCGGATAATGAAAAAAAAGTTTTGAAACTACGAAACAATACAACTGTAAAATAAGTTCTCAGCTTCTGGCCTAGTTTTTGAACATACAGAAAGTTTTCGCTTTTTTCTTCGAATAAATTGCATATGGAAATTAACCAAATGCCGATACGAAGATGATGCTAATTAAATTTTATACGTACATATGTTGGAATTTAAAATGAACGAAATATCCGTAAGATAGTAAGAATGTCGATATTCTGTAAGATTTAAGGAGCAAAGTTGAACAATGTATCAATTGTTAATGTAAGCCGACTTAATAGTAAACTGTACGATGAGCTGTGAATCATATGATCCTTAGAAAATTGATTTCGACTTCCGTTGGGTGGAATTCGTCTGGGGAATTCCACGTCATGATCATACGTTCGCAGGAATGAGATTCAACGCTGGAGATGTGGTTTAGACGAGCGACTTGGAAATGAAACCCTAACCAGTATGGAACTTGGTTGTTTTTACCGTAATTCGTAAAACAAGTCGTAAAACTTAACTTCGTATGCAGTATTTTCAATAAATTAGGACATCGCCGAACATGGAGATGTAACATTTCGAGCGACTTCGAGTCGATTATGCAAGTGATGAAAATTTGACGAAAACATGCTGTATAAAACATTTAGTGCAATAGTCTGTGTGCCGAATGCAAAAGGGAACCATAATTTAAATATTCCGTAGCTGAATGCAAATTGCACAGCAAACTTATTTATTCAAAGTAAATGGTAAGTTTGAAAATTCGATTTTGTACTTTGCAAATGTAAAACCGCTTGATAATCAAGTTCTCCGTGTCAACACAGAAGACACTAAGGGGGAGAGAGAGAGTTGTATTGCATGGAAGATCATCGGGTGGCAAAGTGCGATGTACAAAAATAAACAAAACTATACAACGAACGGAAAACGTGGAGAGCTCTTATGGTCAAATCCAAAAAACCAATTACCATAATTGCATTTATCTAAGTCCATCTTTAACACGCGCTGGAAAAACACTCGGAAAAACTAAATTAAGAATAATAATCAGACCGAATCTCGTTATTTGTATGGTACACTATGTGTTCAATGTTCATTATAGTTACATGGCGATTCTTTGCTGCATTTTCTCCCTCTCGCTCACTCTCTCACACACATACACTATCCATGCTGTGTATATCCCTTAAGCCGGAGCAGTTTGTGTAACTTGTGATTTTAAATCAACGACAGCATTACCGAAAAGAACGGAAAAAATAACAAGAGCTTGTTGTTTGGATCTCGGTAACCCGAGCTATGTTCTAACCAGCTACTACATTAATAGCAAATAGCGAATGTAAATAGAGATGGAACGCTAAAGATAAATTACATTCAATTTAATACGACTCAGATTAGTTGTTTATGATTTGACGGAAGTTCCAATTGTTTGTGTGTTTGCTGGCTGTACGCTCTCGCAAAATTCATCCGATTTCTATTTATCTATCTCTCTCTCTCTCTCTCTCTTTCTCTCATTCTCTCTCTCACTCGCTACAATATATGTTTATTCTGATGTTGAATTTGGAATTTGTTCTATTTTTCTATGGATTTTGATAGTGTTCTTGGTTTGGTTCGGCATATTTGCGTTCTAATGGCTATAAAGTTCGTCCAGTGCGTTGCCATCGTCCAGAGTTCTGGCTCTATTTTTCTACTCATGTTAGCATTTCCTAACAACATCATAGTTTTCATAAAACAACTTGTACAAACGAGTGCGAACAACAGAGGATGGAACGATGTCGGCATTCGTTTCGGCGGAAGGGAAAGGCGAAATAAATTTTAATTCTTTGTGTGGTTTGTTTCATGCATAGAAATGCATTTGCATGTAGTAAGTGCAGAAGTGCATACATTAGGGTGGCCCAAAGTGTACACTATATTCGAATTTTGATCGTAGCACATGCTTGAATTATGAGAATTGATGTAAAAACTTCGTGTAAAAATTTTCAAGCGGCTAGCATAACGGAAAGTGCTGCCAGAAATTTTGTATAGCTTAGGGTGTAGAAACTATGAAGTTAATCAGTAAAATTGCCGATTTCTGACATATTTTCACATATTCCCACATATTTTTCACCTTGTGGTCAAAGACTCCAACACCTATAATATAAATATACAGTATTTAATTGATTTCACGTCATGTTTTGTTCATTTTTAGTGGAAAATATGTAATTTTTGCCAAAATTTAGAAAGTTTTGTATGGGAGGTACCCGTAGATCGCTTTAAAATTACTTCAGACTTTCTGGGATTCCATTGTTTGGTAAAAAAAATAAGATCCTGAAAGTTTCATGTTGATCGCATCTGCACAAGTCTTGTTTTGGCCAATAATTTTATTTGAAATTTCCTAAAACTTTCACTTCGGCTATGACAGTCTAATGCAAATTATCACAAAACCAATGAACATATTTAGACCTATAACGCTTTAATTCTTCGTATAATCTCTCTCTATGAGATTCAAACAAGGGACTGAACAAATCCAATCGATATAAGTCATTTTGAGCCCGTCAAAGTGTCGAAAAATGGTCAAATGGCCGAACTTTTCACCTAATCTCCGTACAAAAATTTCTGTAACATTAGATAGAGATATGACAACAACGCATGTTATAGCTTAAATGAAAGATATTAAAGTCCTCTTCCATATGGTCCAAATATGTTCATTGGTTTTGTGGTAATTTGCATTAGAATTTCATAGCCGAAGTGAAAGTTCTAGGAAATTTCAAATAAAATTATTGGCCAAAACAAAACTTGTGCAGATGCGATCAACATGAAATTTTCAGGATCTTATTTTTTTTACCAAACAATGGAATCCCAGAAAGTCTGAAGTAATTTTAAAGCGATTTACGGGTACTTCCCATACAAAACATTCTAAATTTTGGCAAAAATTACATATTTTCCACTAAAAATGAACAAAACATGATGTGAAATCAATTAAATACTGTATATTTATATTAAAAGTGTTGGAGTCTTTGACCACAAGGCGAAAAATATGTGGGAATATGTGAAAATATTTCAGAAATCGGCAATTTTACTGATTATTTTCAT